TCTCAGCGTGACGTACATATATGACGTGTTTGTTTGTTCACATTTATCTGCTGCTTGCTTCTCTATCCATTCTAATCGACAGAATAGTTCAAAATTGTTTGAAAGCGTTTTTAAAACGCTCCAAACTTCAAGGCTGTTACAAGATTTTCTAAATTTGATCCGCGAAATCCGCGATTTCTCAAAAGAAATCCGCGACTTCAAATACTAATCCGCGACAAAAAAAAACTGTTTTCATTGCCTAGAAATAGCATTTGTATACTACTAGGGTAGAGAACTACTTCGGCCTAATCGCCCATTTTGGGCCTATCGAGCAGATAACTTCAAATAAATCCATGATCTCAGAGTTAACAAGTCTATTATGCGTTTGGTACGATACTTTAGTTAATAAGCTACGGAACGAAGTCAATGAGAACGCGTGATATGAAGGTTTGAACCAATTATTCCCAAAAACAAAAGAAGCGCTCCGATCAAATCATTTTTATCTTCATCCGATAGGCCGAAGTGAATTCATTGGCGTTTCAATTGCGGTTCAATGCGTTAGACCGAGTTTAGAATCCGTAGGCCGAGTTTGGCGTCAAGAAGCAGTGTTAGACTTTTGACAATATCTCAACGATTGGTTTCTTTTTATCAAATCTTACGGTACATACGGAAAGGTAAATAAATTTGGAAGCCATCAGTAACAATAACATTCCGTTTGGTGCTAAACTGCGCTACATTAAGAAAGACTAAGTGCGGGTTGTGCTTAATAGGCCGGAAATGGGGTAGTTAACCCTACATGGCATTTTAAGCTAATTGCTTATAGCATATTAGATTTTTGCCTTAGTGTTCTTTGAAGTACTTTCACATTTTAATTAAGAGCTTTCTATGCCTGTACCATCCTATGCCCAAGGAAGTAGAGAAATTTTCCAACCCGAAAAATGAATAGATCGGACGGGAATAGAACTCAGTCGCCTTCAGCATGGACTTGCTTTGTAGCTGCGCCTTTACCGAATGAGCTAAAGGAGTATCGTTTGTAGCCTTTGAATTAAAAAAAAAGAATAACATTATATCATCTTTAGTTATTTATGTATAGTATAAACTCTGAGTAATAGTAAACATAATAAAACACATTATGAGATTCTATTGAATAATACCGGCATAGATTTGATGAGACATTATTAAAAAAAAATAATGCATTTTAATTTGAAATGCAAATTTTCTTGAAAATTAACCAGAGACGAATTTTGCTGTCCTAAATGTTGTAGTTAATTTGGCTCTAGTTTTCTCAATTTTTTACCGATTCAAACCAAACACCCTGCACATAATCGAGAAATTACCAAAGTTTCATAAGTCACACTTCGCGGTCACGGATATTCCTTGGGTTCTGCCCAATGGTGAGACATTTTCATGATATTTTTTTTATTTCTTATATGAACCTAGCACTATTCGTTATCAAATCATAACCGAATCGTATAAATGTGACTTTGTGGATCATGCACGACTCATTACTGTGTATACCGGAAATTATAGGTTTTCCAAATCGTCCAGGACATCAGTTGATTTGTTGTACTAGATCAACCAAGACTGCAATAATGTCTGTAGTATCGAAATATGTCCAATCAGATTCAAAGTGTCTATGTGGATCATGCGTGATCTATTTCTGAGTAAACCAGATGTTCAAGGTTCTTCAAATTGTCCTGGAGTTCAGATAATTTGATCTACTAGATCAACCGAGATTGGGACAATGTCTTTAGTATCGAAATATTTCCAGACAGATGCACAGTGTCTATGTGGATCATGCATGAACTATTGTCATGTATACCAGATGTTTTAAGTACTCCAAATCGTTCTGGACCTCATAGCCTAGTCAGTAAAGGCACGGTATTACTAAACCGGAGCCGGCGGGTTCGATTCCCGGTCCGGTCGAGGGAATCTTTCGGGCTGGAAATTTTCTCGACTTCCCTGGGAATAGAGTATAATTGTGTTTTTGCCACACAATATACAAATTCATGCATTGGTATTGGCATCGAAAGCTCTCAATTAATAACTTTGAGAGTGCATTTAGACCACTAAGTTGAGAGCATGCAATATACACTAATCAATAAGCTTGAAATGCGAATAAGAAGAAGAAGAAATCGTTCTGGAAATCAGATGATTTATTCAACTAGATCAACCATGACTGGGATGAAGTCTGTAGTATCAAAATATGTCCAAACAGATTCATAGTGTCTATATGGATAAGTTTAATTATTTCCACGTATACCAGATGATCTAGGTTTTCCAAATCGTCCTGTAGTTCAGATGATTAGTTTTACTAGATCAACAAAGACTAGGATAAAATCTGTAGTATCGAATATCGATTTGGAAATTCTAGAACATTTGGCATGATCCACATAGACACTGCAAATTTGTTTAGGCATATTTCAATACTACAGATATTTAATTATTTGGGTGATCTAGTAGAAAAATAATCTGATCTCCAGAATGATTTCAGAACCTATTATATCTTGTATACGTAGCAAAAGGTCGGGTGCAATCCACATAGACACTTTGAATCTGTTTGGACATATTTCGATACTACAGACATTATTGCAGTCTTGGTTGATATAGTAGAACAAATCAACTGAACTCCAGGTCGATTTGAAGAACCTAGAATATCAGGTATACATGGCTATTACTCGTATTTATACGATTCATTTATGATTTGACAACGAAAATTGCTATGTTCATATTGGAAAAAAAGGAAAATGTTTCACATTGGACAGACCTCAGGGAATTTCCGTGTAAATCCGGTGTGACTTATGGAATTGAGATCATTTTTCGATTATTTACAGGGTGTTTGGTTTGAACCGGTAAAAAATGGAGAACCAAATGAACAACAAAATTGATGACAGCAAAATAATCCGGGACGGAAAGGTTACAATGAATTCCACATTTTTTGTGACAGCACATCAGTCCCTTCGTGATTTTCGCTACATTATTTAATGTTTCCGCGATTTTCGCGACTGAAAGTTCAAATCCGCGACAAATCCGCAAAAATCACGAAATCCGCGAAATTCGCGAAATCCACGCCTGTTGTAACAGCCCTGAAACTTATCAGGTGTGTGTGACTATTGTGGGCAGCCTCTTTTTCTTCAGCAACTTTTCCATTTGAACTGCGTGTTAATTAGCTATTGTATTATCGTTAACTCGAAATCAGCCACATCTTGTAGTGCTTATATTTAATTTAAAGAAAAATCTAACATAATGGCCGTAAAAATGTTATCAGATTGAGACTGAAAGACATAGACATTATTTTAATACATTCAGCGATGTGTATGGACGGGAAAAGCTTGTTAAATTAACGTCTTCATTCTTAGCCGGTCGAACTCCGGACGAAGCTAGAACAGCACTACCATTCATACTGGCGACAACGCTCTGATGAGACAACGAAACCCTACCCCAAGCTCCTCCCCTGATCCTATGCTATTGTACCCTTCTAACCTCGAGTAAGCCGCGAGTAATCGGCCCAACTCCTACTAGACATAGAATTAAGTGAATTTTGTTACGCACAGTGAACAATTAATTATCGGCTCCGTAAAGCTAACGCGATTGAGCCTTCCAAATAAACGAACTAGAATAAGAAAAACTTCTTCATTTTGGCCCCAAAATCGAAATTTCCCTTTTCTGATTTTATGATGAAAAATGTACATGTATTGAAAGCCCTTCCCCCCACACTTCAAATTCAACAGAAGCGATGAACATATATGAAAACATTTTTTATGCCATCCAGCATGGAAATGGTCACCTTAATGACAAAATACGGGACTAACATTTCGCGACAAGGAACAAAACTACCAATTTTTACGAAATTCTGAGAACCACTATATCGTTTTGCTATGGAATGGCTGATATGTAATATGGCATGAGATCTCCGAGATTTCAAACTAGTAAAAATCCTCTGAACTCCCAGAATGAATTTTCTAGATTCTGTGCCATGACATTTTTTCAAGGTTAACACAAATATTAAAAAATTAAAAAAAAAATCACGTGTCTGAGGCTTAGAAATTGTTCAGAATTGTCACTGGAATTATAAAAAAAAAAAATCTTGGACGATCTTGGACTCGACAAATTTCCGAAAATCTTTTATTTATTTTAGGTCTCAGACTTAATTTTTGATATCACGTGTTAAGAAATATTTAAGAACTCAGAGCTTGCAGAAATATTCAAGAAATATTCGAGATACACTTTATAAAAAACGATTTGTTTTAGCCCTTTTCAGCAACAAAATTTAATGCAACGTGGTAAAAAAAAAATCCAAGAAAAATATGGTGGTATTAAAAATGCAATCTCATCCGTGTTCCAATGTTAAATGAAGCCCTTTCGTACACGGCGAATGAGAACGACCCAAACTTGAGATTAGTTCACTCATAATCGCCAAAAGTGCAGGAACTCAGCGATGAGTAAAGTTGTCTCATGGTTTCCTGTGGAAAACCTAAAAAATCTGCCGGAAAATGAGGAAATTGACGAAAATTTTATTCAGTCTTGGAGTAGTACCAATAGACTGAGTGAATCCAATCTTTACTTTTCTCAAATTCGGGAATTTTTCCCTGGAAAATCCTGGAAAAACCTGGGCAAACATGAAACGAATTTTTCTCATCCCTAAGTTCCTGCACTTTTGGAAATTATGAGTGAACTAAACTCAAATTTGGGTCGGTCTCATTCGCCGTGTAAGTTGCCTACTTTGAAACATAATTGATGACCATACAACGATTAATAATTAACAATAAGCCGAACAATGGATTAGGTCCTAAGTAACATTGACAGATTATCTTCATCGATTTCCTCTTTACATCCCCACGGCCATTGAAAGACATTTCCAGCTATTTCCAACACACAGCTAATCGAAAGAAACTATTACCTAACAGCTAATACGACAAACACGACCAGAAACGTGTTTATAGCCAAGTTACTGAGGCTTAAATTGATAAAATTGCATCATCTCGAAAAAAAAATCTGATTCAACCAAAAGCTCTACTTACATGTAAGGTCCAGATCGAATCCATCCTGGGTGTACCGGATTCTGCGCTTGCTCACGAGTCCTCGAATGGGATTAGTCATCTTGATCGCCGACAGAGTGTTGGCCATACACACTTTCAACCGTCGCAAATGGGAGGACCGCTTCCTGGAGCTCCCTATTTTGGTTGGCTAGTTCTGCTGCCGACTCGTCAAACTCTTCTTTCTTTCTTCGCGTGCTTGCTCTCACTCTCTCTCTCTCTCTCGCTTTATAGGGGGCTAAAACAAAGATCACCTTCTTCTTCTTCTTCCGCCGCTTCTGCTTCTTCATGCAACGACTATCCAGCCTCCTGCCCCCATGTGTGTAACAACACTGCACTGACACTGACTGGCAGTTGTCGTCTTCTTCTGTTGCTACCTTCCTTATTCACCCCCGAAGGAGCTGACACAGAACGACACTAGTGGTAAACCTGCACTTTTCTCCGGACAATCACCTTCACTGGTACAACAAGGAACGACGGTTCTCGGGACCTCGGAAGGGCTGCTGCTACTGGTTGTATCACAGCAATCGGAACTGATGGAGCTGATCCTTGACTGGTGGTGCACTTGATGGCTTCCACTTGCTTCCATTAGTGAGGAAATTTCGAACGTTCATTTGCCAAAACGGAAGATCTTCGAGCCCTCTGCTCTCTCTCTCCTCTCTCCCTACACTCACTCGAACCCAAGGGCCAAGTTTAGTTCCTTCTTTACACACACGTTGGATCCCTTTCTACGATGGGATATTTTTCTTCTTCTTCTTCTTCGATCGAACTGGACTTTTCGTTGAAATTTTCAATTTCTCTCTTGCTTGGAAGGAACCTAGAACACTGTCAATCACCAGGTGATTGTATGAACCCGTAGTAGCACTTGTTGCACTGGATTAATTGCTTCCCCTTCTTCGTAAAACCACAATAGAACACACTTTTCAACCTCGACGGTGTTTCTTTTATTTTATTTTTTGCTTTTCTTATATCAGCACATGAGTTTCTCTAATTTCACCAACACACCGCTGTGAAACGCGCGACTCACTGATTGCGATATTATTGCACCACCTTCACACCGCGCCGGAGACGATCGAACTGACGAGCCACCGGTTTTTTCGAATTTGCTTCGTCGTCCAACGCGCTGCTGCTCGTTGCTTGGCTGTAGTTGAAATAGGCTCGACTCTCGGCTGTAGTACCCTACTGCACACATGCAGCATAATAGTACAACACCTCGTAACTAAACCAAACCCTCGAATGCCGTGCACCACGCTCTCATGCACTCATACTCTTGCGCGCGCGCCCGTTCGTAACTCTTTCCCTTCGGGACTTGTTGCTGTATTGCATTAATACTCACGTCTAGATCTCAGCTTGGCTGATGTTCTTGCTGTTGTTGTTGTTATTACTCCTGAAGAGCACGACCTGATCCTTCGGATCTCTGCGCTTATTCCAGGTTCTATATCACCGTTGCTCCAAGTTGTGCAGCTACTACAACTTGTACTTACTACAACTAACCTCTACCAGTACCGACTTGCAACTAGCGACTGTGTCGCCGCAAGACCTAGTTTACGACCGACGACGACGACGACGACGACGGCGTCTTGGACTACGACGACTCCAAGAAGAAACCTCAAAGAAGAAGGCAAAACTTGTTTCGTTGGATGCTGCTGCCGCGTTGATGCTGTGTATTTATTTTGTTGAGGTGGACCAAGTTTTGCCAATCAATGTTCGTGTTGTTGCCGATGTTGTGGATGCTGATGCTGATGCTGATGCCGATGATGATGACGGTGATGATTGTAACTCGTCCACATGTCAACTGGATATTGACATTTTAATTATTACAAGCGAGCTGCATTGAACAACGGGAAGGGAATAAAGAGAAAGAAACCAAATTAATTACAGAAACAGCTGATTGATGGGGATTGGACGCAATAGTGCGATTTATTTAATGGAAACGCAGGGCTGTATTTTACATAAATAGTTAGATCGATAGGCAGGAAACATTAGAACAGTGGGGAATGTCAGTCATAGAGATAATAGTGATAGGTGGCCTTTGGAGCTAACGGAGATTGAATCAACTGATGCATGAATTTGTATATTGAGTGGCAAGGACAATGATACTCTAGGGTTAACTAACCCATTTCCAGCCTATTAAACACAACCCGCACTTAGTCTTTCTTAATCTAGCGCAGTTTAGCACCAAACGGAATGTTATTATTACTGATGGCTTCTAAATTTATTTACCTTTCCGTATGTACCGTAAGATTTGATAAAGAGAAACCAATCGTTGAGATATTGTCAAAAGTCTAACACTACTTCTTGACGCCAAACTCGGCCTAACGCATTGAAACGCCATTGGAACGCCAATGAATTCACTTCGGCGTATCGGATGAAGATAAAAATTGATTCGGTCGGAGCGCTTCTTTTGTTTTTGGGAATAATAGATGCAAACGTTCATATCGCGCGTTCTCATTGACCTCGTTCCGTAGGCCTAACTAAAGTATCGTACCAAACGCATAATTGACTTGTTAACTCTGAAATCATGGATTTATTTGAAGTTTTCTGCTCGATAGGCTCTCTACCCTACGTCTAGGAAAGTCGAGAAAATGTTCAACCCGAAAGATTTTTTCGACCGGACCTGGAATCCAATCCACTGCACTATGGGCAAAACAGAGTTCAAAATTGCCCAACTTTCAATATCTGAGAAGCACAACTCCTTCAGAGCAAAATTTCAATGGCCTTCTGAGGATAATTTTGTGTTTGTGGGCGAAAACGAATCTGGAGCATAAGTCTTTGGAATCTTTTTGAAAATACTAAAAGGAGGATTACAATTAAATCTGAGAATAACTCCAGAATATCTTCAAAGGAATTCGATTATGAGAAGAGAAATCTAAGGAATTTGTGAGGAGAAATGCCAATGAATTCTTAGGGGACTTACAATATGAGTAGAATTCCAAGGGAAGGAGTGAGATTCAAAAGGAAATCTGAAATGAATTCAATGAATATTTGGAGAATGTTTTCCAAATGGTTTCTTATTGTGTAGAATTTCAAGGTAATTCCCAGGAAAACTTAAAGAAAACTTAAAGAATTTGAAGGATTACTTTATTGAAATGTTGAGGAATATTTCAATGGAAATCAGGCCATTCTATTCTGCGGTCTTCAGAACTACTTAATAGTTCCCATTTTTTTCCTGAAGAAACTGCGTTGAAGTTCTTTTGTAGTTTGAGAAACTAGCCGGATGTTCACAATATTTCTCATCAAATTCTTAAACTTCCCTGAATTTTTTAGGACTTCCTTAAGTTTCCTCAATGTTTCTAACGATCATGGATCTCCTCTAAACGTTTAACAATTTGCTGTTCTCTAAACTTCTTTAAAATTGATAGGAATTCTCTAATGTTAACGGAACTGTTCTGAGGTTTCTTGTTCTTTTCTGAAATTCTCAAAACTTCTCTAAAGTTCTGATGAACCTTGTTGCACTGCGCTGCATTAAATAGAACTGCCCTTAAAATGTTTAAGCTTCAGTGAACTTCTGAACGTATGCGAAGACCTCAATTAACTTTTTAACGTCTCTGAAGTTATCTGAAAATCTGGGAACTGAATAAGTTTTGAAGCTTACTAAACTTCTTTCAAATACTCCCGCATTTTGCTAATGTTCATAAACATTCCGGAAGCTCGCGGATCTCTCCTTAAGCTCCATTGATTTCTATGAGGTTCTCGAAATGTTTCTGAAGACCACTGTCCTTCTGTGAAGTTTTCGAAGTTTTTCTAAATTGAACTTTTGTGCACCCGCTATGTTCATGGAATTAGAACGAAATAATTAATATAATTCTATGATTTTCACTGAAGCTCTCAAGATTATTTTGAAGTTCATGAAGCTTCCCTTAAATTATCGACACTAATTTAAAACTTCTTCAATAGTCTAAACTTTCCTGCATAAACGATTATTAAATTTCTTTAAAGTTCTCTAGACTGCCCTGAATTTTCAGTATATTTTATGAATCCGCAACGTTACTAAAATTAAATGATCTGCCTTGAAGTTTCTACAATTTCCCATAAGTATTATAACCATTATAAACGCTCACTAATTTTCCCTAAACTTATCTATAGTTACCTGAAGTTCTCTAAATTTGTTTAATAATCCGACAAATTTGCTGATATCTATTCATAATTCCCTGACGTTTTCGGATCAATCGTAGAATTCATGGAATACCCCAGCATTCCACGGAACTCTTTTTAAGTCTCTGCTAATTTTCTTAAGTTAATGGGACTATTCTGAAGCTATCTGATCGTTCTTGAAGTACTCGGAACTTCGCTGAATCTCATGAAACTATCTAAATGTATCTAGATTTATTAGAAATTCTCTGCAATTTCTTAAAAGTATCACTGTTTGCTAAAATTTCTCGCATTTTTTTAATTAATGGAACTTCGTTGATTTTCTTTAATCAATTTAGCTAATTTTTTGCGTTTTTTTAAGTTCTTGAAATTTCCATGATATAACAAGCTTAAAATACTCTCACGTTTTCCGGATGTTCATACAATTTTTATCACGTTCCAGAAATTCGCTCGGAGCTTTGCTGAAGTTTCCGGAAATTCCTAAGTTTCTCGCAACTTCTTTAAGGTTTCTACAATTTCCTTGAAATTATTTGAACTGCCCTTTGATTCTCTAATATGTCTTGATGTTCTCGAAGCTACCGTAAAGCTCTCAATTCTATTGAAGATCTTGGTTCCACTGCTCGGAAATAAATGGAATTCCCGTAAACAATTTTTAAATTTCCCTAAATTTCTCTGGACTTCTGTGAAGTTTCTGAAATATTTCTGAAGTTTTCATAAATTCTCTGAAGGACTCTGTACTTCCCTGAAATTCTCGGAACATCTTAAGGGTTCTCGATTTTTGTTTCAGCACATCATGGAACTATCGTGAATTTTTCTAAATTTACCGATTATAGATCTTTAAACTGCTTCAAAAGTCTGGACTAAAGCTACAGAAACTGCTCTCAAGATCTGAAATTCCCCAAAAATCTCCAGCTCTAGTTTTTCTGAGGTACTTAGAACTTCTTAAAAAATTGCACAATACCCCTCATGTTTTCTATATTTCTCAATTTCGCTTGACACCTGTGAAGTTCATTGCAATTCTAGGAACTTCGTAAAAGTTCCCGAAAATTTTCATATGCTGCTTGAGGTTCTTAAAGCTTCCAGTGAGTTCACCATATTTTCAGCGTATTAACTTCCCTTATGTTCCCGCAGTTTGTTTATGGAGCTTCATTTCTTTTCATTACTCAGAACTTCTCCAAAGTTCCTACAGTTACAAACTTGAAATAAATCATTTATTTTTTTCTTTGAATCTTGGCACTTTGAAAATTTTCAATATCTTGAACTTGTACATGGAACACGAAACTTCAAGATATTGAATAATATTAGATCTTGAACTTCCTCAAATTAAGTAAGTTTTTGTTTTTACTTTATTAAGTGAGAAATTAAGTAAGGGTTAAACTTCAACATTCAATGGATTTGATTGTAAAGCTGTTTCTTTAAAACTGATTGTCTTAAACACCTTTTGACAAAATTGCTGTTGTTTTTGATCCACCAAAAAATGCATATTTTTAATGCATTTAAAAAATAGCTGATTTTATTATAACGTGCAATCGCTTCCTCAGACCTTTTCTCTTCAGAAAAGTAATTGTTCGTAACAGGAATTCAACGTCCTTTTGAGATATTGAATTTTAGATAATGTTGGACCCATTTTTGCCCTTCCACCATCTTCGACATTGGTAAATACTAACTCGGATATCTGAGGCCCTTGTCCTTGAGCACCTGGCAGTGGGTTTCCCTCAGAAGTACTTCCCACCGAATTCGTCTTGACATCCTGTTGAAGACCTGTTAACTTATCTAAAGCCAGGCTCTATATTTGTTCACGGAATTCTGGAGAGCTCTGTAGCTGCTATACGAAAAGATTTAAAGACTTAAAATCACCTGTATTTGTCTCGAAATGATATGAGCATGCTTTTGAAGACCACTAAATACAGTAATGACCCGATTTTGTCTGCCCTCTTTTTGAAAATCTTTTCTAATGATCTATGAAACCCATACGCTTTTTCAGTGGTGGTATTCATCAAAGTATACCTTAAACCTTGAAGGTGAATGAGACAAAATTGGGTATGCTTTTTTAAAATTCAAAATTTGTACTTTAAAAATTAGCACAGAACGTTCCCTTGAAGTCATCTGAATATAACTCGAGGTCATTTTGTCAATGTGTTCTGTACTTTCACTTGAAAACCTTTTAGCTTGATGTGAAGTGGTATGGACCTGCTCCTGAAAACCTTTGAACTTACTCTTGAATACTTCTGAACCTGCCCTAATAAACTTCTTGACATGCTCAAAAAACCCTTAAAAATCTGGTTATGTTAGAATTCCCTACAGGGAGCGATCATTGATTATGTCTCGCAAAATTTGCCCAAAATGAACTCTCCTCCTCCCTTTTTCACATGAGAATTACCGTCACGTTATCACAACCCCCCTCTTTATTATGCCAAAATTTCTTTGGCAATGAATTTTCTAGATTTTTAACAAAAATACGATCTCTTATTTATTTTACAATAATTTTTAAAAAAGTGTTTTAAATTCATAAAATTCTGTATTTTTCTGGGAAACTCAATTCCTTTTCCTTAAAGAGCCAGATTTACGCTACGCCATATATATTTAGACAACTATGCTTGGAGAGTAAACTTCAATTCATCGTTTAAAAGCAGGGCTTTTCAGGACGCTATATGGAGTGCACAAATTTCCTGGGAAACTGGTGCTATTTTAAATAAAAATTTGCAATCAGAACATTTCAGTGGTAGTCTTTCTCAT